AGTGGCACCGCTCGCGACGCCCTTGACGGTGAGGTTCTTGAAGACGACACCCCAACTTCTTAGGCCGAGTCACCCGACTCGGCTTCGCTTCTCGAGATGACCCTCGCGCATGAACTGTTCGAGGTGAAAGCCATCCTCATCGGTGGTGCCGCTGTCGACTGAATCCGCGTCTGAGTCCTCTGCTCCCGCCTCCACATCAGGTTGACCGCCATCTGCGGCCGTCTTCTTGGACTTGCCGCTTGCCCGAGATGTCATGCGCCGGAAGTAGCCCCCCTTGGTTGATTTTTGCGAGGCTGCGGCGTTGGATTTCGTATTCGTGAGTTTCGTGGTGAGTTCGTGCTGGAGCTCTTCAAAATCCTGCATGGCTGCCTTCTGGCTCACCGGTCCACCCATGTCCCGTTCACCCCATATTCCATCGACTTCGGGGCTGGGTGGAACCTTGCTAGGCTCGCCGGATCCGCCTTCGTTTTGGACTTCTGCAGGCGGTTGCTGAGCCTCATCCTTGTGGTGTAGCGTGTCTGGGAGGATACCGGCTGCGCTCCTCCGCAGGTTTTCCTCTGTTGATTGTCCCCACATGGTGGTTGGTGGTCGACGGATGCTTGTGGGATGGAAGAGTTGAAATTATGAAGGGATAATAAAGTACGTTGGATAATATAAGTAGGTAAGCTCAGTTAAGTTGGCGGTGTGGGGGTTGCTGTTGGTTGGGGTCCCGTCTGCAGTTGGGGATGAAAAAGCAAACAATGAAAAAGGAACTGCAATGATAACCCCCAGGCGACCAGTCAGTGCTACAGTCCCTGCACAGACTCAATGATGTGAACCTTTGTCAAGGCCACTGCTGGGGGGATCGAGCGTCTCCGTGTTGAGCAGGAAGAACAAGGCGAAAGCCAGACAGGGAGGTAACACTCAAGATACTTATATTTCATCCAGGCCTGATTTCTCAGCACGCAATGGCGTTTTCGCGCTGTCCACAATTGCAATTCCACCTGGTACCTAACATTGCCAGGCACTGCCAGGGTCGGCTCGGGTGTAAGCATTTGCAGACCGCATCCATGGGCTCGGCGCTCCTGAATGCCTGAATCATCGAATGGAGATAAGAAAACGGAGCCGGGAATCGAGATTTCAACATGGGCACGCCCTAAAGCGATGATTCAGCCTGGTTCATCCAGTGACGGTTGCAGTTTTTGACCCACAGTTCCCGTGTTGGGTTGCGTGGGCCTGGCGGGCTGGCGGGCATGGAAGTGGTGGGATGCCCTGCCGAGTACAGGCCAAGCCCATGCTTCCGGCTAGCCCCCATGATTGGTGTCTCCTGAAACGTCACTTTCGGAACCCGTTGTGCATTTCATTCGAAGCTTTTATCGAAGCCTCCGCCAGCTGCCCACAAAAAGCGTGAAAAGTGAAAAGGATGCGTATCGGATGAGTCTACGATCTGACGGAACCTCTACTTTCAGTTAGACAATATCGGCGTTAGGCTTTAAGCTATCTGCTATCATTCTTGGCCCGACAGCGCTCTGACAAACCTGGGTAAAAATATGTCGGTTATTCATCCGAATTCCCCCTCGAATTATAAATCACAGCGTTCCCCTCGATCCTCGACCACCTCGTTCCCACTTCATAGTGGGCTGCTCATTAATAACAACGCGCCAGCGCCCAAAAGTCCGAAAGACAAAATGGCAACGTCCATCCACCCCAATCCACTGCAGTTGTAAAAAGAAGGAAAGAAGGAAGGAAGAAAAAAAAGGAAAAAGCGGTGATCCACCCGGAGTTAGCACCGGGGTACTTCTCTTCTCCGGGGCCAAGAAGAAGAGCCCGCCGCTGATCAGCGCATCAAGCTCACCATCCGCGGATTTGCCGTCCCTTCTCTGTCTTGGCTTTGAGGTCGCTTTTCGCTTTGTGCTGTCTGGTCAGCGTGCAGTGCACAACCAGAATGCAAGCTGAGGGGCCAACCCGCGAATGGCAAGCCGAGGGGGAAGTCGAGACGCGGAATGGCGGCGACCCCGCCGGAAACGGGGACAGGCGGTTGGCACTAGTCATGGCGCGCTGAGAAATGAGAGACAATGATTCGTCCATGATTCATCGGCTCAGAATGAAATCATCGACTAGTTACACGGAGGGGTGAGATTGGAAGAGACTGGCGACAGAAGTGGGGACCGAGACCCAAAACCATGAGACGCATCGCGAGTGGGACTGTGATGCAGCGGTTTTACAGAGTCAACGACGGCAATAACGTGGGATCGATCGAGGCCAAGCACGGGGTTAGCGGAGAAAAAGTGTAGACTCCGGGCCCAGCGAGCCCAAAATAACATATTGAAGAAGACAGAACAGGCCAGTCACATTGGAATTAATTAAAAAAGAAGCCACATGCATAGGAAAAGGAGAGAAACTATAGGAGGGAAAAGAAGAGAAGGAAGAAGATAATCAATCTGACCACCTGCATAGGTAGTGTTAGTCGGGAGAAGCAGGTCATGAGGAACGGATTCGGTCTCAAAAATGAACTCGCTAAGTCAAATGCCTGGCCCAGCTCAGGATGAGACTGGTGCATATCAAAGTCTGCTTGGTGGGAAAGTTGTTATTGTAGCCTCAATAATCTGTGTACGTCGATATGTCACTGCAATATTTCTGCCAAGTTAGATCCAGTTATAAACAGCATTTAGCACAGTCGAGGGATGCTCGAACCCAGCCATTTAGATACAGTCCAACTCCCGCAGGCCAGCAGTAGAAAGTTCGCCCATGTTGTATAACGCACAGGATCTCCGACGATGGACCAAACGAAAACAACCTTGGAAGTGCTGATGTCGCTGATGGAACGGGCGTGCATATGTTGGCAAAGGGAAAAGCGTCAGGTACCAACAACAGTTGATTCATACTGACACTTAAATGTCGCTCACGAAACTTGACCCATTGAGGCAAGGGATAGGCTGTCCCGCTATCGCAGCATCATGATGGACAATGAACCATAGTGGACAACACATGTATCAATTATGCTCGTCTTCTTTTTCTTATTTTCTACCAGTACTGACACTCGAGACTGCCCCTGAATTACTCCTTGGACGCTCCACTCGCGTTTTGCTGCATCTTCAACATCTCCCTCAAAGCAGCGATTTCGGCCTCTTGCCGGGCTAGCCGAATCCTCAAATCATCCCTCTCCCGCGTAACCTCCTTCACCTCGCCCTCCAGCTCCTCGATCCGGTCGATCTTCTTCTGGCGGTACCGCTTGGCCGCGAGTGTGCGTGCCGCCGGTCGATGACTTCTGGGTCGATTTCATCTCCTATGGCTTCCTGTTGCTGCTGGAGCGCTGCTGCAGCCACCGCCGACGAGGCAGAGGATGAGACCGTTGCGGCACCATGATGGTTGTTGCGCTTGGTGACGCGCCCGTCGGTGGTGTGCGAGAGCCTCGCTCCTGCCGGCCGACGTCCCGGCTTGGAAGGATGGGCCTTTGCCTGCGGCAACTTGAGACCGGGATGGAGAAGGGCCCCGCTGTCCGGGCTGGGCGGCGTGGGTGAAGGAGATTGGAGGTCGGTGGTGGCGGGGGTATTGGTGAGCGATGTGCTGGTTGAGCTCAGGGGGGGGATTGGTAGAGAGGCTGGTGCTGCTAAGGGGAAGAAGTTGTTGTTGCTGTCGTTGCTGTGATTGAGGTTGTTGTTCTCATTGAAGAGAGGCGTGGAGAAGGCGTCGAGACAAGGTGCGAGGTCGAGGTCAAGGTTGAAGTCGAGCTCGGGGGAGGAGAAGTTGGAGTGTAGTTCTGCCCCTGATGCGGTTGCTGCTGGGATTGAAGCGCTATCGACAAGGTCGAAGGTGCTGGCTGCGGCTGGGTCCCAGTTGAGGTGGGTCAGGAAGTCAAAGTCATAACTGCTGAGACTCGGCTGCAGGGTATCGCAACTAGGCGCGTATCTGGGGTTGGAAGAAGTTGAAAGAGAGACGAGAGCAGCATATTCCGGTGACGACTGCAGCGACCATTCTTGCACGATGGAGGGGCGGCCCCCTTAAAACAGAGGCCGAATGCCTTGGGAAGGGTTGGAAAAGACGGGGTCTTGCGTGCTGCAAGTTTGGCTGTGGGAAAGGAAAAGAAGAAGGATCACGAGGAGGGAGTGGCGGGAAAGTGCCATTTTGTAGAATGAGTGATCAGATAAACCCACGCCCTCCGTTTCTGCATTGATTCAATTGGCCAACCCCGCATTTCCCCGAAATGCACCGCCCACCAGGCACGCCAGGGTCTGTCCATGCTTCTCTTTCCTTTGGGGTTTTTTTTTTTTTTTACCCTCCACCGCCTGTCTCACACAATCTCGCCTGCCGCAAGCCACCCGAGCCACTCTCTCGTTTACAGCCACAGGCGATGGAAGGCACGATGTCACAACTGGGAATGCACTGGGAGCGCTGACTCGGACTCTCGCGGTAGGGTAATTAAAACCAACCCGGCATCTCGACGATATTCCGGCATGGCAGCAGGGCGGGTGCCGAAGGGTCGGACAGCCCGATGACATCCATCCACCATTTGAGTAACTAACTAACGGCTTTCTCTTGCACATGCCGTTCTTTTTCCCAATTGGGATGTAGCTTGGGATCCTGTGAGACACTGGAACGACAATAACGACATGCCTATCTATCTCCCAATGAAGTTAGCCGGCGTTGCTGACGCGAGGAATGTCACCGACTCAACAACCATGCAGTCTTGGGCTGTTTACTAAACTTGAATTGGATGCACTGGCAACGAAACTGGCAATTCATGACGACCAACAATCCCGTTGCGAAGAGTAATACTGAATCTGAGCTGGGCGATACATGCAGTAACATATTCTTCCATGGGTTTATTGGGTACAGCCCTGGGTGGTTGAACCGTCGAGTGGCGGGACAGTCAACCTATCGGGTTTAAGGTTTGCGGAGGAGGAAGAAGCAGGCTGATGGTCCGTTGTAGGGTGAATAGACGAGGAAGAAGATGCTCTGTATTTCTGAGGCCAGCGACGGCGTCCCGCACAGGCGTGGCATTCCTTCATCCCGCAGCCACGGCTGCCACACCTCCCGAAACTGTCATCCTTTACCACGCGGTTACACGTGTGGCACCGAAATGGTAGGTCGAGTGGGTTGCCGTGATGCCCGTGCCAATTGGGGTGACGACAGACGGCCCGGGATCTATACCCGTCAACACGCCACGCGTCCGCTGGGTGCCGTCTCCAAACACAATGTTTGAGATGGCCGGGGTTCTTGCAAATCCAACAGGTCAAACGGCCGCATGCCCAGCAATTGAAGGAGATTCTGTTTGGCCTGAGTGTGAAGGGCCGGGGATTGAGCGCCCTGCATCTCATGCTTGAGCAGCGTACCTCGTCTACCTCCTCCCAGTTTCTCGCCACGGCCTCGAAGTACACGTATATGTCCTTCGGCAGACTTTCGGGGCTTACGGGCAAAGGCCGGCCACAACATGTGGGAGGCGTCGGGTGGCCGCTCTTGATGGCAGTTCGAAAGTACAACACGAGACACCGGGTGCAAAAGAAATGCTGGTTTATAGCGCACGCTACGCCCGCTCCAGACGGGACAAACCACCGGCACAAAACACACGGCTTGATTACAGACTCTGGTGCTTGTCCCAACCCATCGGCGGGTAACGGCGATCCTCGCATGGCTGCAGAAGAGGACGGAGGGCGATATCCTACGAGAGCCACAAATCTTCCACCATCGGACTCTTGACAATATCTTGGCTTCCTAAACACCGGCAATAGCAACCTAAAAGCCCTAGTAGGAGAAGGGAGTATCCAGGGCAAGAAGGCGCAAAAGGTCCAGCCTTCATGGTAGCGGAGATGACGAGATTCGAGTATCTATGTTCTGGGTGGTAGGCTTTGATATATTATAAGTTTGGAGGCGAGTTCGCTTTCGATCGTCGCTCAACTTATAGGTCGTCTTTGTTTGCGATTCAGTGATAACCACTCCGTGGATAACTTGAGAGAAGTTGAAACAAGAAGACTTGAGGTTGGCCTTGTCTGAGTGTCGACCCAATCACAGGGCGCGACGGCAGTTTAGAACCCACTCCGGCCGCGGCAATGCCAGGCACCAAATGGAACCCAGACTCCAAGTCAACAAAACAACACCGAACCCAGACTTCATCAGTTACCAGCCCTCCCAACCACGGCACCAGCGCGAGCCACCAGGTGCCGAAGTGTGAGATCTCACAGTTATAGTTTGGCACTTTTTGCCACCTGCCATCCACGAGCAACGAAGTATTCTCTACCAAACCCACCAAACCGTCGACCATGTCAACACCGAACCCCACACCAACCTACAGCGGCTGCGTCTCGTCCCTACGCACCTCTCTCTCCTTCCTCGAATCCTCCGTCACCACCCTCGGCACGGGCGTGCAAGACTTTCCGCGCCTCACTTCCGTGCTCAAGACCGTCCGCGTATGTTTCCGTCTATTCTCCCCGCATCACGAATCCCATCCCCCTTCCCCGCCATCGCCTCGCCTTGGCCCAGGAATCCACCCTCCCACACTGTCGACACACCCACACCCACACACCTAAAGCCCAAACTCCCTCCACTAACCACCATCCACCCCCACAGCACTATGAACTAATCCCGCAACCGACCCTCGCCGCCGCCGAAGCCTCCCTGCGCGACGAGATCGGCCCCTTTGTCGCCCTCCTCCTCGACCGCGCCGACAAGCACCTGGAGCGCCAGGCCCGCCGCATCGAGACCCTCAAGGCGCGCGCCGAGTTGAACGCCGGGAGGCTGTCGCGGTATCCGGTGGAGGGGGAGGGGATGAAACAGCAGTTGGGGGGTGGGGGTGGTAGGGCGATGGGGAAGGGGATGGGAAAGGTAGGGGGGAGTGGGAGTCGTGCTGGTGGGGGGAAGAGCAGGCAGACGCTGGATGGGGGTGCGGGGCTGCGGGCCAAGGTGGTGAGGCAGCGGAAGGAGGCGCTGCAGTATAGCGTGGAGAGGCTGGAGTTGGAGGTGCTGCAGAAGGAGAGGGAGTTGCGGGTGAGGGTGGAGCAGGCGTGAGGGGTGTTGAGGAGTTGGGTTGGTATTTGTGAGCAGTTGATTGATGATGGCGATGCAATTGGGGCACAGAAAGAGGGGGCGAGCAGCGTTATGGCCCCGAGGCGCAACCGCGATGTGGAGATTCTGCCGATGGCGAGCTGGTGAAGTTGGGCGCGCTTGGGATGCAGCCCCCTCCCCTCTCCCCCGCCGGCCGGCCCATATTCCCTCGAATAAGAAGCCGCAAGCAAGGGGCCCAGCGCTGGGCCGCGCTGGACATCGATGAGCGATAAGGATGGGCTTTACATATCGGACAGGCAGCCCAGTTTCGTTTTCGCTTCTTGCCGAATTCGAGCTCGGGGCAGCCCGAGAGCCGGGAGGCGGCTGGGGCAGGGGGTGGTGGAAGCAGCAGCAGGCGGCTCCCTTGGTGGTGCCAGGGCTGTCCATTGTCGCCTCTAAACGGCTAGATATCCCCAGACAAATCCGAAAGGATGTGTAGCTCTGTGCATTAGACACATTGGACGATGAGCGCTTGGCGCACACTAGCGGGAGGGCCTCGGACGAAAACTGCTGGTGGCATTGAGTTTCGTCTCCCTTCTGCATGTAAGCCATCAGCGGAATAAAGGGATTTGTTGATTCTCAAGACCGTTGCTCGGTAACCACTTCCCCTCCAACATCGATGACAATAATTCTTACACCATGATCATTCTGAACAGCTTCAATCATCACGCAAGGACAGCCCGAAAGGGGGCTGCATAAAGCGACCACAGGCTAGAATAGTGTCACATACACAAGTGGTACAGTGAAATGGGGCTTTGAGAATGGAATCCATCAAAAGGGAAAAAAGAACATGACAAAACAAAACCAGTTTAACAGTACCCCAGCCAAACCAAAGCCAGTAAGACCCGCCCAAAAAACGACCACGATTTTAGACCTCATCCCAGTGCATCCCATGTCAAGCCAGGGCATTGCCCGCGTATGGTGTACGCCTGTACGCCGCTGCTGTGCCGCAGCCCCCCTCAAGTGACCCCCCTCGCTGGGTCACTTACAAGAGAGGAGTACCGACAGCCTGGTCCGCTCTCGCCGCTGACGGCTCGGCTTCCGCTCGAGCATGTAACGCCGGATGGGGTCGATTCGGTTGTAGGGTATATAGAAAACGTCATCCAGACGAGTGAGAAGAAATTAGAAAGAAATCATCCACATGGTATCATGCGTTTTGCCCCGGCGTCTTCCCTTGCATCGATCCGCAACCACCCGTCCGCCAAACGCCTGCCCGCCCAGACACACATGTTTTCGCCCTAGACTATAATAGGATGAGGTAGTTGCTGGGCGCAATGCCTGTCTCGCCGCTCTCCTTCCGCGCTTGCCACCACCTTCCGCTGACGTCGCTAACTTCGAGGATCTCGTGCTTGGAAAACGAAATCTCGTTGGCGTCTTCGGGATTCGCCTCGTAGCTGTAGATGGCCTTTGCGCGATACGGGTATTCTGTAGGCGGTACGATTTCCGCGTTGGGGTTCTCGGCGTTAGGGGCCGCTGTCTTTTGGGTTGGTGGCGCTGTGTACGCCGGGGGGATCGTCGGGTTGGTCATGGCCGAAGTCATGCCGCCGACCGGTGATGGGTTCTCGAGGCCATTGAGCTGGGCTGTGTACATTTGAGGAGGCTGCACCGATGTGGAGGTCTCGGGCCTGCGGCCACCGTAACCACCAGTCATGGTCTGACGATTCGTCGACGTAGACTCCTTGGCTAGGGCGAACGAATCGATGTAGGCGCGGGGAACGGCGGACGGAGCAGAGCCAAAGTAGAAAATCCAGACAATCTAGGGCACCCAGTTAGCATACCAAACCGAGACATTACGCAGGACGGGGGAACATACGGTCACCATCGATAAGAGGATGAAGCCAGCAGCCGACGCTTCTTTGGCGCCTTGGTTGTCATGGATCAGGTTGTTGACGGATGACGTCGAAAGCACCAGGCCGCAGCCGAGATAGCCCACGAGCGCGACATGGTAAGTTTGGGTGCTGTCCGACGCGACTACTACGAACACGCCAATGATGAGACCGAAGTAGAAAACCAAGGCCCAGTACGCGAAGAGCGGGAATTTTACGGGGTATTGTATGTGTGCAATAATTGTCGCGACGAAGGAAATAAGCCATGCGAGCTGGTGGCAGCGTTAGCAACTATCTGGAGCCAGACCACGGTAAGCCGGTAAACTCACTGTCGCGATTGAAGTGGTCGCAAGCGCAAACGGGTCACCAATGATATTCCCGAGGCTCATGCGCTTGCGGCCATATTGCGGTCGAGAGTATTCCATTTTCCTGAGCGATGGGGAGTGGAGCGATCCGTAACCGGGCATAAGTGCGTGTCGTCGCGCGGGGGCAACTCAGTTGACGCAATGCTTTCCGGCGTGCATGGAACAGCCAGTCGTCTGATCCAGGCGCCTCGGATTCGACGGGTCGGGGCTCGTCAGGGGAAGTTGCAGGGAATGGCTCGGGTGGGGCTGGGCGAAGAGTTCGGATCGATCGATGTTGTTGACCTCAAAAAAACGCAAAGAACGGCTCGTTATCGGCTGCCTTGGCGAACTGAGTCAAAAAAGACGGTTGAAGAAAATGACGAAATTGTCGGAAAGAAAGAGACCCGTCTCGAAACGGTAATCAAGCGAACGTGGTGAAGTCGAAGGAGAAATTGAAGGTGGGAATTTGGGAGGCCCAAAGGATTGCTGGCTTTAAATAAGGTCGGGGTTGTTTGAATGAATCGTGGTCCAGGTCAAGTCCCAAAATCCCGATGCTCGTCAAGCCGTGCTGCCCTGGTCGTCTAAATCACTCCTAGCTCTTTGTGTTCCTAATGTCGCAACCGCAGTACCCGCCAGCGTGCTTCAATCGATCGCTGTGAAAGCGTCGTGGGGTGGAAAAAGTCGAGGCTAAGCGCGAGCAAGGTCGGATGTGCCGGCGATGCGTAGGGAAGGCGTAGAAAAGAAACGAAAGGGTAAAGTGCCGTGAGAAGAGGAGATGGGGTGGTAAATGGGTTAATGCGAGATGGAAGGGAGGGAGGCAGCACGGCCAACTGGGGCTGCGGAGCGGGAAGGATGGGATGACCTGAGTGGACAAGTCGGCCAGGGGGGGGAGGGCGGAGGGCAGAGGGCGGATACGATGGGTGGATGGGACCCCGAGCTGCAAGGTCGACGAGGGAGGGTGGAGCGTGCGCGTTCTCGCTCTCGCTCGCCTGCTGTGCCTTTGAGCCAAGGACTCCAGTTGGCTGGATCTCAGCAACCGTCGGGCTTCCGCAAGCCGCGCGACACTTGCAGGCTCTAGTTATAAGCCATTCCCGCCTGTGCATTTACAGCCAGTGCAATGTGCGTCACTCGAGATTTTTGAAGTTTGCCTCCCGTCGTCTCAAATTGGTTCTATGGAGCAAACCAATAATTCCTTCCTCTGCCGAGTTGGGTACCTTGCATTCGCTTGAGCAGACACGATTCTGTCAGCAACATGGGACCTTGGTAGCTACCAAGTTCAGAGCCCAGTGCCTGAACCTCACTCAGCTAGGGCTGGAAATGCTGTAATGCGGCGGACAAGCTCGACTAGTCGCTTTTCCGCCAGCCCGCATCAGTCATCGAGCTCAGCTTGACCGTATCTAGCATGTCTCAACCCGCGACATTCATCAATCCATCTTCTGTTTTGGGGTCTGTGACAGACAGGCCGACAGCGACCCTGATGAGGTGGGATGAAGAAGGGAGGGATATCCTGGGTCGGCTTCCCCACAACCGGATCTTGGAGAACACGGCCGTTGGCGGCGCGGCCAGCTAAAGTCCGTCGACAAAACATCACGAAATCGAGACACGCACGCCAATCGAAACGAGACATCCGGTCGACGGTTGAGATGTTGTCGAAGCCAGAACCCATGGGCCAGGCTCGAGTTTGGAAAGGCTGGCTCTCCACAAAATTCGGTTCGCTGCGACGGTTGGAACCCCCTCGGCAAACCATCCTCATTTGCCTGACTTGATTGGATTAAAATTCAAGCTGCGCGGAAGTTCGTGCCTGGCCCTGGCCTGGGCCCCTGACCCCTGGTGATCTTGGCGACCACAAATGCTTCGCCCCGCTTGGATGTGTTTCAAAGTTTCACAGGCTCCGCCACAAAGCGCCAACCGACAGGCATTGGGCCACGACGTGGTCGAAACACCATCCCAAGGGGCAGGTTAACTGGTGGCACGGGCATCGCGGGATCTTCAAGGAGGTCAGTCAGTCCGTCGGGTATCATGGCCCGTGCCCTTGCGCTGGAACACAGTCGGGTCGTTCCTTGGCAGCTGTTGCAACATCACAACGAGGTGCATTGGTGCGTTTCACAAAGGACCCGTCAAGATCCAGTTACCTGTGATCAGAGATGGCTGCTGGCCGTACTACAACGCACCCGCATGCTCTCCGGCAACAAGACGGGAGCAAGCAACACCATGGTGAGGCGGCCATGCTCCCAAGGGATGCGCGGGGCTGCCATCATGGAGGAAAGGAGAGGTCCCACGGGCGCTGCCCCTCCCAACTACAGTACAATTACAGACATTGATCGACAGTGGGCAGCTGTTCCTGCATTCGCCCCTCCATATCCATGGAGCTCGGCGCTAGTCAGTGAAGTGACGTGGAAATCTCAAAAACCAAGTTCAATCGCGGTGATTGCGCTAAGATCTTCGTCGATTGCAATTATTAATTCGCGGTCGTTGTTGAGCAAGCTGTTCTTTTTGGGCGTATCAAAACGGATCCCGTTATTACCTCGTAGGACTGATTAAGAACTCAAGAGATTAAGAAACTGCGGGACCTCAGCACTTTGACTTCCTTGCTTCAGCCTGGCGGCATGTTGCGACGACTGGGGTCACGGGCACCAGCGCGATTCCAACACTTGCATGCGCACATCCATCGAATTCCATCCCTCGCAGCCCCCACCCTGCCCCTGTGGGGGACTCGTCGAGACCAGCAAGTCTAACGTCAGCATCGCCGTCCGTCTTATCCGATCTTGAGCCGCCTTGGCCCGGCGGTCGTGCGGGTGCGAGCCGTACCAGGCCAGCTGGCCGGCCGACTAAGTCAGCCCCGAGCGACAACCTTGGCTCTTATGATGACCCGCCTCATTGTCCGAGAAGCACTTGAGTAAGTTTAAGGATATCATGTTCGGTGCATTTGGCTTTGACGCGGGACAAATCGATCCCATGAAACACGGAGCTGCGATTCCCGGGCGAGGAGTGGCTCAACGCCACGTGCAGACCTGCGGGACAATGTGCCTCATCATGCCAAATCCAGATCGTGTCGGCCTGCGTCAATGCATCCACGGGAAAGGGTATTCTGGAAACTCATCTCAGCCGGCACGGGCAGGATTAGCCGGTGGGGGTGCCTATGCGAGATCACGGCAGCAGTACCCCCAACATGCTTGGAGTGCATGTGTCGACTCTCTGACCGGGCTCCATCAACGTGACGTTGAAGAGAACCGGAGGATGTAAGTGTTCCCAGTGTGGCCTCCGCAGCAGCTTCCACTCCCAGAAAAGTGCCTTCAACTCTGGCGGCAGATCTGGGAAGATCAATGCCATGCTCCTGGTTCCAGCACCGGTTGCGCGAGATCCATCACCGCCGCCCAACAAAAGAGTATGTTGCGTTGGCCGATCTCGACCAGCCCGATCCCGGAACTGTTCCAAGGTTGGCAAACAAGCGGGTGATGCGAAGCATCCGCCGCGCGGTGTTTGTTCTCGACCAGTCTCCCTAGGTAGCTCCGTTAGATCGAGCGCGGGGCAGTTGCATTGTACCTCCCCGCCCCTAAAAGCCCATCGCCGCGCCTGGCTTTCCGCTGGTCGCCTGTTCGTAGCACTTCATGTACCAGCCACCGGTCTTTGATGGCCTTCTCAGCCGTGCCCCAGCCTCCCCGGTAGCAATCACGCCATCCATCCCAGCCCTGCCTTATAAATTACCCCGAACGCCTCGCTCCTCACTCCAACCGAACCATTACCCACGGGACAAGCACATCAGATGCCCTAATAAAGCCCGGCCCGCCCCTCGCCAACCTCGGGTCTCTCCTCATCCCTCAAATCTTCTCCTCCTCCACCCTCCCCTTCGCCACCCTCCTCACGCCCCTATCCACACGCTCTAACCGCCCCTCCACATCCGCCAGCACCATGCCATATCTCAGCACGCCGCCCTCATACCACGCGCGCACGGCGACCTCGCTCCGGGCGCGCAGCTCCGACATCTCGCGCGCCTGGGCGTGCTGCAGGGCGGCGGCGCCGCGCATGCGCGGGCCCAGCGCGGCGAGCGCGGCGCTCTGTCTTGCGTCGGGGATCGGCGAGTCGGCCGTCGCCGCTGTCAGGGAGGACGCGACCGTGGGGAAGGCGGACGCGTAGGCGAGGACCGTCGCGCGCACCGCGTCCGGGGGCAGTTGTGTCGGTGGGAGCGCGTCGGTTGCGGTGGGGGGTTGGAAGAGCGTTGGGTGGGATTTGTCTATGGGGTGCGAGAAGGAAGGGGGGGAGGTTAGTTGGCTGTTGCTGCTGCTGCTGTTGCTTCTGCTTGGGGTTGTTATGTGGGGGGGATTGTGGGAGGTTCGATGGTGGGAAGGAGGGTTAATGGGGGAAGGGGTGGTGCATGGGTGGTTGGGTTGCAGTCCATATTTTGAGAATCTCGGCGTAGACACGGAAGCGGTGGAGGAGCTGGTTGAAGCGACGCTCGAGCTCAGCGAGGGAGGTTATCGCCGACTCTTGGGGTGGTTCGGTCGGGGCAGTTGTTGGGCCGTAGAGGATGTGTTCGATTCGTCGCAGTCGCGCCTCTAGCAGCGAGATGGTGTCTAGGGTTGTCTGGTCCAGATTGTTTTCCATGGCGTCGGTGTTGAGTTGTTGACTGTGGTCGGTTGCAATCGAGAAAGAAAGGCCGTCACATGGGCGGGTTGCTTAGGTAGGTATGGAGTGAAAGAGCAATCGAATCCATGCCACCTGCATTTTAGTGGTCCACACTGTGCGGTCACCTTCCAACCCAGCTTCAATGTCAGTGCAATCTGCGTCCCAAAACCTTCGAGCCACCCCCACTGCAAAGCCCTCAGTCAAAGACCAGCACCATAAATAAAGATGCCTCCGAAGGGTGATTATTCGACAGCTTGCCTATACGGGGATTGCGTATATGTTGGCGTGGATCAGTCGATGTTACGGTAAGTACAACGTCGGGTTCAACAAACACACTCATTCTCCTATGTATACATACATGTAACCTGCGAAGTACCATGATCACTTACCTAGGTACTGTACTTCGTACCCTGGTTGAATTAGAGCCCACGTTGCCGCCGCTCACGGCCGACCTTTGGTTTGCGAAGACTGCGGGCGCATCACGAAGACCCCCGCCGGTCTAATCGCGCATCGCCGAACACACAACCTGTACCAGTCGTTCCGTTGCCCGTTCTGTCTCCTCACGTATTCTGATCGTAGTTCGGGAATAAAACATACCATCATCATACACGGACCGGCTTTAGATGATGTCATTCAGTTTGGTATGTCCCCCGTGAGGAAAGGCGGCACTTGAGCGAGCGTTGCTAATGTAGTTAAGCACTGTTTCATTAGTTAGTTAACTAACTAGCTGTTAACTAGCCACAACCACCCAGCGGTAACGGGGCTGCGTGTGGGCCAGGTTGCACGAGCGATAAACGAAGCCGAGAACCAGCCTGGGCCAGTCCACCAATCCGAGCCCGAGGTTGGGCACCAGCTCGGCGCGAAGCACGATCCTGAGCTCGACGTTAAGCACGACCCTAAGCCCAAGCCCCAGGCTACGGAACAGCTCAACGCTAAGCACAACTCTGAGCTCCATATCAAGTACGATTTTGAGCTCGCCGTAAGCACGATCCTGAGCTCGGCGCTGAAGCATGACCCTTTTTGAGCCCACGGACTTCGACTAGTCCATGACGATGAGTCATACTATTCTTTGCGTTCATCAATACGTGCAGGGAGGATATGAAGAAAGACCAATAGGGGTTAAACACCCGTGTAAACTTTTATCTGGGAAGCGGCCCAAGCCCTGGATGGATGGATGGATGGAATTTATTTCGCCCGGAGGCACTGGGCCTATAGGGCCTTAGCACGCCAAGTACATCCGGATCAAATCGTTTTGCCTTTAACTCGTACAAGCCCCCTACTTCTTCCCTTTTTCTCGCTGCACCATTTACCTCTTGCCTTGGGGCCCAAGCCCTGGCTGTGCAGGTGCCAGATGTATTATTAGACCGTTAGATGCTGGAATGTTCCCTTCTACCATTACATGCTTGGACTGACGCCCACGAGTAATTTTGCAGCTCTCTTTTGTTGTACGATGTTGATGGCGCCGTCCTTATAAAATATCACAACTCACAACACGCCGTTCACCGTCCGCCGTCCGCAGTCCGCCGTCGCTTTTCCGAGTTGGATGAAATTACCCCTTGGCGTCAAGGCGTCAAGATCAGATTAGATCCTGATAACGCTCTTGGCCTTGCGTTCTGTTGGATGGTTTTTATCAATGGCTCCGGATCTAATCAATCAATCGAGCCCATCTCCGGCTCGACTCTCCACTCACTCCCAGGGTACTGAATCCTGGCGCGTCACTTGGCTACCACTAAGCTGGAAACAGCAATTGAGACCTGCCTTCTCACCTTGGGCGAGGACCCAGAACTGCCGGCTTCGGGCGATGTCGGTTCGAGTTGAAAATATTGCTTCGAGCGGAGTCCTGTCGTGTCTGGTCACGGCTCACATATGATCACAAGATGCCATTCCGATTTGCTGTCCACCTGTCCTCAATCTATATACATCCATGATACCATTTGCTTTCCCATTGTTCCATCATCCAGAACACCTTGAACCCGACGGTAAATTATGGCCATCCTCAAGTCTAACATGCTCTTCGACCACAAAAACTCGGCCGAGGCCGTGTCCCCTGACCCCTCATCTGCGGTCAACGTCGAGATGACGGCTGATAGAAAGACACCCAACGCCGAGGTCGTTGATGCTGGTATCGACCATCTGAAGAGCCATGTTGCGCGCGACAACGTCCAAACTGGCGTGCAGAAGATCCAGGCTGTGACCTTAACCTGGTCAAGAACATCGATGTTTTCAATCCTCTGCCTGTATGTCTCTCCCTCCTGCAACGACTGTCCCACGTAGTTATACGAATCTATATTCGAAAGGGCTCTCTCTAACTTGATTTCTCCGCAGTCTTTGGCTTGTCACCTTGGCCAATGGATTCCGGACAGCCATCTTCTACAGCTTGACCCCTTATGCCACCAGTGATTTCCAAAATCACTCGCTCTTACCCACTATCAACATCGTCTCCGGCGCCATAACTTCCGCATTGTATATTCCGGTCGCTAAATTGGTCGACGTCTGGGGCCGTGCCGAAGGCTGGATGTTCATGGTCGGCTTGTCGACCGTGGGGCTGGTCATGATGGCCGCATCCAGAAATATCGAAACGTACTGCGCCGCCGACGTAAGAATATGCAAGCTCTCATACCTCGGGCTCCTGGGTTGACAATTACATATGACAGGTCTTCTATTCCGTCGGATTTGCTGGCATGAACTATATCCTCTGCGTCCTCGCAGCCGATGTCACCAACCTCAGGAACCGCGGCATTGCCTTTGCCTTCACCTCCTCCCCGTACATGATTACCGCCTTTGCGGGATCAAAGGCTGCCGAGAAGTTTCTACAGAACGTTCACTGGCGCTGGGGATTTGGCGCTTTCGCTATCATCATCCCCTGTATCGCCTCCCCAGTCTACTTTGTTCTCAAAGCCGGGCTGAAAAAGGCTGAACAACAAGGGATCATCCAGCTCAGCGAACGTAGTGGTCGAACTCTAATACAGAATATCAAGCATCACTTCTTCGAGTTCGATAGTCAGTTAAATTGTGTCCCATTCTGGTTCAAGTGTGCTGACTGTTGCTAGTTCTTGGGGTCATCCTTCTCGCCGGAGGGTTTACCGTCTTCCTCCTGCCCTTCACCTTGGCGTCTACCGCCCGCAACGGCTGGAAGACAGACTACATCGTTGGCATGATAGTCACGGGCTTCGTTCTGATTGTCCTATTCGGTCTTTATCAGGCCTACTGGGCCCCTCAACCATTTTTGAAGCACGAATTTCTCACCGACCGCACCGTTATCGGCGCCTGCCTACTCGACGCAACGTATCAAATGTCTTACTACTGTTGGAACAGTTACTTTAACTCCTTCTTACAGGTCGTCAGCAACCTCGACGTTGCGGAGGCAGGTTACGTTGGGAGTACTTTCCAGGTCGTTTCGGGAGTCTTGCTCTTCCTTGTGGGGTACATCATCCGTCGGACTGGCTACTTCCGGTGGCTGTTGTTTATCGGCGTGCCATTATACATCTTCGCCCAGGGCCTGATGATCCACTTCCGGCAGCCCAACCAGTATATCGGCTACATCGTCATGTGCGAGATCTTCATCTCGGTCGCCGGCGCCACCTTCATCCTCATCATGCAGCTCTCCGTCCTCGCCGCCGTCGACCACCAGCACGTTGCCGCCGCCCTGGCCGTGCTCTTCGTCTCGGGCGGCATTGGTGGTTCCGTCGGCAACGCCATCTCAGGCGCCATCTGGACCAACACCTTCCTCCTCGCCCTGCAGCGCAACCTCCCGGAGGCCGAGCTCCCCAACATTACCATGATTTACTCGAGGCTGCAGACCCAACTCAGCTACCCGGTCAACTCGCCCGAGCGGATTGCCATCCAGGAGTCGTATGGCTATGCCCAGACGCGCATGTTGGCCGCGGGCACGGGTCTGATGGCGCTGAACTTTGCTTGGGTGGCTATGATTCGTAATTACAATGTGAAGAAGATGACCCAAACTAGCGGAGTGGTGTTCTAGGTTATGGTTTCGAGTGCAATTGATGAGTAGCTTGGCCCCTCTGATTTTTCTGGATACCTACCTAGGTAGACAAAAAAAGGCAGTTCACGGGGAGATCGGCGGGCCGGCAAGCACCAGGAGCTCGACCTCGGCCCAGTGTTGGAGGACTAGAGCAGACAGAATCAGGTAGTAAACTCAGGTGTCTCGAGCGTAACTATCTGTTGCCACCATTTCTTGTCCGCGTACGGGATGGAAAATCCCAATGACCTAGATCTCACAGGGGTAACCCCCTTTCGCCGGCCGCCAGAGCGACGCGCCGAGCAAGCACACCCGGTACATCACCACGTATGGCGACCAAACTCCAACGTCGCACCCTGGCCCTTCGCCGTTTTGGACCCGCGATAGGCCACCGCCACCTCAAATCGAATGTGATCCGAATTGGATGATCAAAGCGTTTGCGACCTCCTCAAACTCATGCCCCCCAGAGCAGTTCCTGACATAGTCACCTCGCTAGACTACTCTCCACAACCTCGCCCGACTGAGAATTACGGCGCTACATTTGCGTATCACTGGATTCGTTTGGCATCCAAGGTGCGGTGGGGGGGTGTTTCGTGGCGAAACTGGCGACTCGGGAACTGCCATGAGTGCCCATTGGGTTGACAGTCGGCTGACCACAGCGAACCAGTGACGTTGCACAGCATTAAACTTCAGTTTGGGGCCAGCGCATCACTGTCGGCATGCCGGTGCGTGGTTGGGATGAAGATGCGAATCTGTCCGTTCGCACGGTGATGTGATGATTGTGATGTGACAATGTGAGCAAATGGGTGGGTTGGCTGGGTGTTGTGTGGATTGAACGATGGGGAAACAGTGTGATGATTAGTAAGAGAATGTCTCTTCGTACTGTAGGAAGCGTCTCCCCGTACTGTAAAAAAAAAATACTGCCGCACCACGTGACCAATTCTGCCGACCCCACCAGCGCCACTCCAACCACCTTCCAATGGACTACGCTGCCAATGCCCTAAGGTAGCCAGCTGGTAATTCCAGCTACTCAGTTGGTAGTTCCATCCAGCCAGCCGCCTGACAACGGTCAATCAGCTGCCAGCGGGCGTGGCCGTGGCCGTGGCCGTGGCCGTGGCAGTGGCAGTGGCAGTAGTGGCGCCGCTCGTGCTCGTGGCGGGAACCTTAGAGGCTCGATCCGAAGAGTGCCCTCGTCGTAGGAAGGCGCGAGGTTTGATGGGGACAGCCAGCGGGCTGCAGAGACAGTTACAGGCAGTGGAATGGCTGGAATACCGTCAAGTGCGCCCGCCAGAGGTCGAGGGTCAAGGGGGGGTATCAGGAAGCGACCCGCCGCACGCAGGGCCAGTCGTCAGGTAACCCAGCAAGTGGCTGAACAGGCGGCAACCCAGATTGAGCTAGGTACGCCTGTTCAAAGCCAGGTGGAGGGGCCAAACTAGATCTGGTCGATCACAGGGCCTCGATAGCTTAGGCAATCAATTCAACAGACCATTGGGACTTGATTTGACTGCAGAAATGGAAGAATTGGCTTTGGAATTGCTTGCGCACGCGCTGGTTGCTCCCTTGCGCGAGTGGAGGGCGGGGGCGGTGCTCACCGCCTTCTTGTTTTGGAAGGCGGTGTGAAAAATACAGTACGGGGAGACGCTTCCGACAGTACAAAGAGACATTCTCATTAGTAAACGGCACGTTGCTGGTCCCTGGGAAGTTTGTGTTCCATTGTGGGGAACATCTGATGCGGAACATGGCCTAAAAGGGTTAGGGTTAGCCTCGCATGAACCTGGCTTGGCCGTGGCCCATCTGGCCAGTTGCTTGCGCCCCAATCTCGCATCAGCACATCTCGTGACCAAGAATCTCTTGAACTCGGCGACCACCCGAAATTGACTGTCCTCCTGCAACACCAAGTCGCCTCCATATCGGCAATTACAACCGACACTCGCTTTCGAATCGTTACACCGCTACGCGCCTCGCGATTGACCCTCGATATTTCCTTCTGCCTCTCACCGTTCGCTTGAGGGGCGACGATAAAATCCGAACCCCCCCGATGGCGGCGACATTGGGCGTATAGTCCAACCCCCATCGATACCATCTTCGACTCTTACTCCCGAGATACCTTCGTTCCCAGCCTGGGCGATCCAGTGCCCGCTTACTGAGCCCACGACTGGGCTAGATGACGGGGTACCAAACGGTAGCCTCTGGCATTGTGTCAGGAACTACCGCCGACGGAAACATGGCGCAGTATGTTACCAGGCCCAGGGGAAGGGAGGAAGGGGAACTGAAACCAGTTGGAACTGACCGTTTCCGTTTTTCTGCAGCCAACGTCGAGCTCGTAACCCCAAGGTGGGTGGCGGTCACGCCTCCATGATGAGTAGCAACATCAACATCTTGAACACAAGTACGTCCAGACATCAAGGCGGGAGTGGGAGACGAAAGCAGGGTCTAACTAGTTATTGCAGTTATTGGAGCCGGAACCCTAGCCATGCCCGCGGCCATGTCCCATTTTGGCGTTGTCCTGGGCATCGTGCTGATCCTGTGGTGTGGCCTCACGTCTGCCTTCGGCCTGTACCTTCAAGCCCGCTGCGCTCGGTACCTCGACAGGGGAACGTCGTCCTTTTTTGCCCTTTCGCAACTCACCTATCCGAACGCCGCCATCGTATTCGAAGCCGCCATAGCGATAAAATGTTTTGGCGTCGGTGTCTCGTACATGATCATCATCGGCGATCTTATGCCGGGCGTCGCTGAATCTTTCGGCAGCGGGGACTTGGGTCTTCCGTTTCTGGATGATCGCAGGTTTTGGATTACGGCTTTCTTTCTGCTGTTTATCATCCCGTTGAGCTTCCCAAAGCGGCTGGATTCTCTCAAGTACACGAGCATGGTTGCTCTTCTTGCTATTGGGTACCTGGTCCTGCTGGTCGTCTACCACTTTGCGGCTGACGAGATCCCCAACGACCGGGATATCCGGATTATCACTTGGGAAGGGCCGGTGGCTGCGTTGAGCGCGCTCCCGGTGGCCATCTTTGCCTACACTTGTCACCAGAATGTGAGTTGTGGTCTCTCTGGGTAATCTTCTTTTTCTAACTTTGCTAACCCCCGGCCTCAGATGTTCTCCATCTTGAACGAGATCAAGGACAACTCGCCGGGCAGCGTAGTAGCGGTCATCGGTTCGAGCATTGGTACCGCAGCATCTGTCTACATCTTGGTCGCCATAGCCGGTTACCTCACCTTCGGCAATGATGTCAAGGGGAACATCGTTGGCATGTGTAAGTGGTTTGCTTCAAACGCTCTTGTAATCCCCAAACCCCACTAACACCACGCCAGACCCCGTCTCCATCGCCTCCACCATCGCTAAGGCAGCCATCGTCGCCCTCGTAACCTTCAGCATCCCCCTCCAAATCCACCCCTGCCGCGCCTCCATCGACGCCGTCCTCCGCTGGCGCCGCGGCCCCACCAACCCGCGCTCCCCGATCACCCCTAACGCCACCCTGGCCTCCCCCGGTGGCGGCGGCCAGCCGCTCCTCCCGTCCTCGGCGCGCGCCGCCTCCCCCACCACCCTCGACAGCCACGGCGCCCCGGCCCAGACCATGTCGGAGCTGCGCTTCGCCCTCATCACCAGCACTATCCTCGTGCTGAGCTACGTCACCGCCCTGCACGTCTCCACCCTCGACCGCGTCCTCGCTTACGTCGGCAGCACGGGTTCCACCTCCATCTCCTTCATCCTCCCGGGCCTGTTCTACTACAAGATCAGCGACCCGGACAGCATCCACCACCAGCGCCTGTCCAAGGAGGACGACGATGCCGGGCTCGATGGCGGTGATGTCGATCTTGACGGCGATGACGATGAGGAGGCCGCCGCGTCTTCTGGTGATGCCATGGTCGGGTCCGGGCTGCTCGCGGCTAGTGTGGGCAGCCTGAGGTCGACGGCGAGCGGGACCGGCGCGGGGCGCCGCGGGAGAGGTTGGCTGCGCTCGAGGCGCAAGTGGCGCTGGGACTTGGAACACCTCGAGACGGGCCTGCTGCGGAAGCTGTCCGTCTGCTTGGCTGTGTATGGGTTCGGTGTCATGTTTGTGTGTTTGGGGATGAATATTTTTTTTGGGCATTAGGGGCGGAGAGATAGATACCTACCTAGGGGCAGCTGGGCGTAGTTAGATGGGGTGCCCTGCCTGCCCGCAAGGTGCGAGGTCTGGATGGCGAGCGGCTGGGTTGTGGTTGTGCTACCATCTGGACGCCGCTGTAAATGGGCATGCATATGGCGTAGATTTCTTGGGGAGTTACGTTGTTGTTTTAGTACCTAGGGGGGAGATGTGCGTGGATACAGTACAAGTAGATCTTTCGGGCCAGCGCGGGGTGTTGGGTCGGGCGATGGAGTTTGGGGGACCGGCGTCTGGGCGACTGCATTTGGTTTTTGGAAAGGGCCGTGGGGGTTGTTGCAAGATATGCCGGGCATGTACAGGACGGTTGATTGATACAGATGCATCCAACGCAATATACGAGAATCCTCCCTTTTCCATTCCACATGGGGTGTTTTGTCGATCGGCCCGGCCCGGGTTTGGCTTGGCCCGGTTGCGGGTGTGACGGTGGTGCTGTGGGCTTGTGACGGGCGAGGCTAGGCTACGACGTACATGTCACTGCATCGCACGAGTGTGTCTGGGCAGGAATTCCCGGGGTTGTCATTCCTCAGGCGGGCGGAATATGGAACGGGTGGTCATGGTGACATTTGGCTATGTTGTTACAACTCAGCTGTGTCGCCCCAGCCGCAGTAACGCGCTCATTGATGGGTTGTGATGCCGTGGTCGGTCAGCGTTTCCCTTCCAGCACTTGTCACTGCCGCACTGCTTCCTATGATCCCGAGCCCCTCTTGGCACGTAGCCGCAACTCAAGGACAGCGGCTAGCCTCGGACATCCTATGCGCCATGAAAAGGACTGTCGAGATGGAGGGTTCCCCGGGAGCTGATTCGTTTCGCCTTGTGCCGCTAGTATCGTACAGCCACCTCCCTGCACCAATGTCCACCCTTCCCCGTCCCCCCAAAAAGAAAAGAAACGCCGTCGTATGTACATGCCGTCGGAAGGCTGTCCCGTTTACACACAGGAAGGTGGTCGGGAAAAAATGTAGATGAATACAGTTGTGACATGGCGCCACGTTGTAGTTGTTGTTGTCATGTCAGTCGGTTCGGTATTCGGTTCTCCTTAACCACCACGTCACGCCGCCTTGTTATCCCCTTGCGGTGCCCCGGGGCTCGGTTTCGCGGCTGGTCGGTACTTGGGCGGGAGGATGCCAACCTAGAACAAAATCTCCGAGTTAGCTTCCCTTCCGCTCTTTTCCTTCCTTCCCAGGGGTCAATGATCATATCTATCCGTGTCTCGTACCAAGGAGAGGAGCCGCCACATGGTGTCGGTCGGCTGGGCACCCACGCCGATCCAGTACTTGGCCCGTGTCATGTCCAGCTTGATGTCCTTGTGCAGCGCGCCCGAGTCGTCGTAGAGGTCTGTCTTGGGGATCGGGTCGTAGGTGCCGATGACTTCGAGGGGCCGGCTGTTGCGCGCGGTGCTGTGGGAGGGAGGGGTTAGGGAGTGCCATGAGGAGGGGGGTGCTTGTGTTGGGTGCTTGTGTCCGGGGGAGCGGGGCATACCGTGCATGAGCGACGACAATGTTGTAGAAGGGTTTGTTGGTGCGGCCGAAGCGCGCGAGTCGGATCTTGACCACCATTTTGCGGGTAGGGCTGAACTATGGGTTGCCAGTGCCGGTCACAGTTGGTCGTGAGTTGGGTGGTGTTGGTGTTGAGCACCGATTTGTCGATTTCAAGATTCCGATGAAGCGTGCACAGGCCAGCCCGCTGGAAATTTTAGACCCTTGCACTCACCTCCGGCTTGGCGTCGAGGTGGGCCAACCAGAGGCGCCAATGGGTCAGAGGGTTGCTCCCTTCCAAACAGGGCATTCAGCTGGGCGAAGTTGCAGCTTGCGGGTGATGTCAGTTTCCCGTTCCCCCTCCTTTGAAGCCACCAGCGATAATTTAAGTCGGAAAGCCGCCCGCCGTTGCTGCCCGTTTCCACACCTTCTCAAAACAAATCTTTTTTTTAAGCAAACTGGAACGCCGCGCCAACAGCTAACTGATATCAAAACGGGATCCACAACTGCTGATCAAGGATGTCTTTAAAGGTGAGCATACCCGCGCTGGGTGTTAAACTTGTTCTTTTCGAGGAGGAAGCAAAGCTTGATATTTCGGGTCCAAGTTTTCTTGACGCTGACCCTGACATTCGATGCCTTGCAGACGCTTTCGGCGAAGGCAGCGGCGGCATTGGATAAGGAGTTGATGAGCACCGGTGCCTTCTCTCTTGACCAGCTGATGGAGCTTGCTGGGCTTTCTGTATCACAAGTTGGTCGGTGCATATTTCCCCCATTGACGTGTGATGAGATCTGTATGACTTAATATGATATCACGATGCAGTCTACCGGGTCCATCCCCCGAACATGGGACAAAGGGTGTTGGTTGCTGTCGGTCCTGGCAACAATGGTGAGCGGCCTTTGTTTACTTTCGCTTGGTCAGTGCGCTCAATAAGCGCCGCTCAGGGGGGGACGGTTTGGTCGCGGCCCGCCATCTTTGCCAATACGGCTACCAGCCGAGCATTTACTACCCAAAACGGCCCAAAAACGACCTATACCAGGTAAGGATCTTATTTTTCTCCATTTCGGACCTTTGATGTTGTTTTTCATCCTCTCAGCGTTCAATCTATCAGAGGTTGGTCATCAAGGTTACCCCTGAATATCAACGTGGAGGGGGGATGTCTTTTTTTTTCTTTTTTTTCTTTTTTACTATTAGCACTACGGCTATTCCCAAGATGCCCGCCCCCTCGAGACGGTCACCAACAGCTCTTCGTGTACTTGCTGTTGTTTGTCCGCGGACCAGCCCTGCTGATTTTGGTTTTGCCCCTCAACAAGACACTGATTCGTGTGCGTAGCGTCTTGCCAAACAGCTGGAAGCCCTCGACGTCCCCTTCGTGGATGACTTCCCGACCGCGCTGCAGTCGGCCGATCACGTCGTCGATGCCATCTTCGGTTCGTCAACCAACCCCTTTTCTTCCCGCTTATCCTGTTGTGGTTGTCTCCCAGCTGAACCGCCCCAGGATTCAGTTTCTCGGGCGAAGTTCGAGAACCGTTTCCCGCGGTTATCCAGGCCATGGCGGAGACCAAGGTTCCCGTGACGTCGGTTGACGCTCCTTCGTCTTGGGATATTGAGGCCGGTCCTCCTCCATCGGGGGTCGGCAGCAACTTCCACCCTGGTGTTCTGATCAGCCTAACGGCGCCCAAACCCTTGGTCAAGCATTTTCGAGGACGCCACTTTATTGGGGGCCGGTGCGTACCGTTTCTGAGCCTCGTTCCTTTTGGTTGTCTTTCTGAACTTTCGCCTTAGGTTTGTCGCACCGGGAATTGCGAACAAGTACGACTTTGACGTTCCGGCGTATGAGGGGATCGATCAAATTGTTGAGGTAGGGTCCGAAGGACTGAAGCTCTAAAACACCGGGCGTGGTCTAGTAAATAATGGCCCCTCTGGATCCTGGGCTCCCTTCCCTTTCTCCTCTTGCTACATCAACGCACATCCGCCCCCGGGACTGTTTGGGCAGATCCGGCTCGGGCAGCCTCCTTGTTCCATGCCGATTCGAACGACGACTGTACCGGTAGGGCACCTCACCAGCGGCGGGCGCAAAGCCAGGCAGAGCTCGACATAGACTAGGTAGTCTTTCCCACAGGCTGGGCATACACTGCTGTGGTGCTCAGTGCACATTAACGGCAGCCCAGAGGTTTGCGACGAGGACGCGTGTTTAGGTGTGAGAGTGGTTGTTGATGTTTGGATGGGTCAGGCGACATGTGGCTGCGGCGGTGGTTGATATGTCTTGTTTTCAGGTGTGGCTTGCTAAGCTCTGTAAAATCCGGGAAGATGAGCGGGGACGTGGCTGTCAAGGAAGGGGCCCGATATTCCTTATGGTGCGTCGTGGCCGGGGAAGTGTAAGTAGGGTCAGCTCAAGCTCCCCGAGGATAAGAAAAAGGGGGGGGGGGAGCTTGGTTGACCGGCAGGCTTGGCACGGGTGAGCAGCCAGATGTATCTCGCCACTATAGCTGGCGTGAATTACGGCAACTAGTGACTTGTAGAGCTGCTGTGGCAGAGGCGAACCATTCTAGCTGGCACGCCCGGTAAGGTCTGTCTGGAAATGGGAGTAATCGCTGGTCGATACGAGACAGAATTGGCCATTTTTCTTTCTCGCGCGTGAGAGCCTTAGCTGCTCGGCACATCTCGCAATGCGCAGCGCGGAGTGTGCTTCGTTGCTACCTGATCAATCCCTCTCTCACAGCACTCTCGGAGCTTCAGGATTGCCCGGAGCAAATGCTCCTGGGCGGATATCCCCCCTGCAAGTTTTGATAGGCTGGAGCTGCAAGGGGCTCCGGGAAAGAGGGTCCCCTGGAAGCTCCATGCACGACCCCCCTGTTTTCCAGGCTCAAGAACACCTCGACGGTCTGCCCATTGCGGGTTCGGGCCTGCGAGGGGGGAAGCGGAGCCCGGCATCATGTGTTGCCTGTGTGTCGCCCGGGGCGGATATCGAAGGTTTGGCCGTCGCAACTCCGGGGACCAACAGATTGGCTGCATTCGTGATGTGAAAGTTCAGATGCGGCCCAGTTGCGAAGCTGCGAGACAGCAGCGACAACTTGTTGGGGGACACGCTGCCTGTCGACATGTCGCATCAGGGTCCTCCCACACCAAACATGTCATCCCGCCCATGCATGCAATGCACCGCATCTCGGCTTAGGTTGAGATACCGCTGACGAGCCCCGTCTTTCCATGTCGTCAGTCCGGACGAGCTGCCCTGCCGCCTTGTCTTCTGCCTGTCCTATGTGCCTATCTCGCTCGCGAGAAGTGTCGGGTGACCAGGAACGCCACGCGCATTCCTGTTCGTCTTGCTCGCTGGTCTCAGTTTGCTTGCTCTGCTTGCTCAGCATCATTCTAGAAGCCAATGGGATACCCGGGCAAAGCCACTGTGACCCGCCCGAGTTCTTGCTTCGTTGTTCCCAGCCAGGGCTGTGGCGCCGTGCTTCCGCCCCTCCACTACCCCCGCACTGCCGGGGTTCAAGGTTGTCAAAGGAAGGCGGCACTGTGGGTGGGGGGGGAAGAGGCTTCGAGAGAAAAACAGATGACTGTGGAAGGTTGTCCGAATGGGGATGAGATCTCGGTCTGGAACCCCACTGACCGGCGTCTGCCAAACCCTTGCCAGGCTAACGTTAGCGAGGATGGGCCGAACTGACCGCTGATTTTGCGCCTCCAACATCAAACATCGAACAAAAGTTGGGTTCATGCGTCAGGCACCACGGACGCGTTGTTCCAGTGCCGGACCATATCCTCGACCAATGCTCCACAGGATATCGGGAGCAGCCGCGGATATCTCTGACGTGCGGCGACTCGCCCCGGAAACATAGACTGGTCATTCATGTTGGGCTTGTCGACGATGGCTCGATGGATCTCGAATGTGCGGAAGTTTTCGCCCGGAACCAGTCCGGCGGGTCAACGGCGGGGTCCGCTCGCTGAACTGTCGGGAGTTCGGGAGCCTGGCAGTGGGTGGGTGGTCTAGAACTTTCCAGCACAGTCGGTGCAGGGCCTGCCTGTCCCACGCCAATCGGTCTGGTGTTTTCGGGGTGGGCGGATAATGACATGATGAAGTTGTTTCTCGCATCAATGTTGTGCGCGGTTGTGACGCTGTCATTTGCGTGTCGGCCAGCGAGCTGCTGGAAGTTCGCCAAGCAAGAGGTCAACTCCGGTCAACAATGCAAGAACAGACCCTGGATTTTAGGGAGATCGATGCAACCTGTGTGCCCACAGGCGCCCCACATGCCAAACTCGTATCCTTGTCTCCAGCCTTTTCTCCCCTCGCTCGGCGTCACGGCACCGACCAAAATGGAAAATCGACCTGCCAAGTGCCAACCTCGCAAGCCTGCCTCAACGTCAAATTCTCACTCGCAACCCATCCGGTGCGAAAGATTAACGGATCGCCGAATTTTCCGGAATGGCCGGAAAACGCCACATGATCGACCACTTTTACGTGTGCATACAGATTAGATCTACGATAAACTCAGCCACGTCAGCCTCTCAGCCTCTCAAGGTACCGGGTCGAGCGGGTGTGATAGGATATTCGGGGATTCCGGGTGTGGCTGAAGCTGCGGGATCTTCTTTGCGTTGAATGATTCGCAAGCAGCCGCTCGAAGGGGGTGCCACACTGGTGCCACACCTGTCTTGTCGTCCCTGCTAGTCAAGTCCGCTTCCCTGTCTTCCCAGCGAGCGAGCGGCAGCAACGGCAATCACGCCACAACCGAGATGGGAAAATGAGATTCCCATGACGAGACTTGCCACCGGGCGCAGAGCTTGCAAACAAGCTTTCCTAGAAGTTCACCCTCCGAAACCATCTACATTGCAATGAATGCACTGTCATGTGAACTCTGGAGCCGATCATCCCGCCACCCGACGTATCCCCCCTCCCTCCGCAGTTTCCGTAGTTTTCGAGCCAGTGTTTCCGCCAAGTCGACCTCTCACCCTCGGAATCTGATACGCAGCGGAGAGCCTCGGTCAGCCCTACAAACCACATGATGGACGGCCATCAGCGAGATGGCGTGGCGAACGGTAGCTCTTGACCCGGCTCTTGGAACAGGTCTAGAGCATGTCCTAAAGAAGAGAGGGAAGGATCGAGTGGTGGGGCTCTGCCCTGAATTCACGATCCCCAAGGCGTAAAGGAGGATGAATGCGCGTAGACAGAATAGAACAAGCCCAGAAGTTGATGCAACTCGCCGCCTCCGAGAAAGTCGAAGCGATCGGGCGGCTTGTTGATGTCAGACCCAATCCTCCTTCGAGATGTCTCGGTCGTTACGGTGAATGTAGGAGCGGGCATCGGAGAATGGATTTGCAGCGCCCGTAATGTGATTGACGATACACACCAGACATGCACTGGACCACTGGCGCTCAACTCCAAGACGAGGATCGCCAATGGCTCAAGCGTCGAGAACTGGAAACTGGCGCTCCGTCGACATTTTGACCGGCCTGCGTCGGAGGCAGAGAAACTCCTCATCACCTGCACTTACAACGACACCAGCATCCAGCAGAACAGGTCTATCCGAGCCTACGCTATGGACAAGATGCGGTACGCTAAGGCCTTCGGATCAGTGCAGCCATTGCAGCTGTTGACGCACATCTACAACGGGATTATTCCCCCACAGCCGCGACGTACCTCGCATAGGGATATGGAGGATACCGCTCGCGCATCAAGTGGCCACTCCCATAGCCAAAAGCAACAAAACCAGTCTCCCACGGAAATAAGCTTCTGTAAAAGGCACCAAGCAGGAGCAATAATATACGAAGAGTGACGAAAACAATGTTCAAGGATAAACGCCGAGTTTTTTTTTTTTTTTTGCCTCTTTCTTTGTTTTCTTAAAAAGAAAGAAAAGAAATGCAAGATAACCACAATTGTTTTCTTTCGGTCTCTACAAATCAAAGGTCAACTTTTGGAGTCTCCAGCCTTTTTGGTCTGTTCAATTACATACCTTGAGTTCTCGCATCAACCATCTCGAAAGGGAGACCCGATTTCAGATCTTGGTGGCTCCAATGTCTCTTTTAGGTGAGGCCTTGACATATCTTTAAACATGTGCCGTTAACTTACTCGAACCAGGCACCTGTGGGGGATTGCCAGTCTGGCCCAGAATACGTATGAATAGTGCTCAGGCAACAACAAGGGGCGGCGCAATCGGGTTGGAATGTTGTTAAGAGTGGGAAGACTGACAGTGGAAGACAAGTGCGTACAACCTCATCAACTTTCACCATGGCCTATCCACCCAACTGGCTTCTCTCGGTCTTGTTCACGAATGTGAGTATCAGACTCGCATAGATTACCTATATGGAATTCCGTCTCGTAAATTGCAACTCTTCTAAAGACGTACCCATTCCGGGGTGCAGCAACAAATGCACGTGTGTGTGTTGCTCTGTGATTGCAAGCTGACTGGAGAGAGCCATTCCCGCCATTGAGAGGGCCTTTTTCGGAATGAAAATGATTTGGAACAAGACATCCTAAAAGGTACTGGTTAGTGCTTGGGCCTACGAAATTCATATCTCAGCCGCAGAGAATCTGAAACTATTTCCGTCTCGGTATTCTTCCCCGATTGTACTCAGACTTCTCGTGATCAGTTCTCGACCATGGCCTCCTCTGTCGAAAACAAGTTAGCGTATTCATTCATGCAAGCTCTTCGTAGTTGACTGGTTAACGAGTGCGCTGTCTCAGACAAAAATGAGCTAATTGGTCTCCCTGGCTTCATCCCCCCGCAAAGCGGGATCACTTCAGCTCCGTTCTCAACTTCTTTCGTGCATTTGCAGCGACTGCGCAACCTTTTCCCCTCCAACGCAGACTCGCCTTTCTTTTCTACGCCAGCGCTGCCAGTAACCCACATTCCAACACCTGAGCTCCTGACTCCTCGTGTGGTTCCATCAAGGCCAGAGAACCCGCAAGGTCCAATGCACACCTTGTTCTCATATGCACATGCATATACCTTGTTCCTAAGATTCTCGGATATTCTCTCATTCGGTGCTCGGGGTCCAGATTCAAGCGGCCTTTCTCGTACTCCCTCTGTCTGCTCGTGACGGGGTTGCTGTCGAAAACTGTCCATTGCTTGCGCGCGGTGCCCGGAATGGATGTTCAAACCATTGATGTACAGAGCGGGGGGGCGTACGAAGCAGAACTCGACGATGGGAGGAGAGTCACCTTCCGATCACTGGGGACGGGGAAGATAAGCTACAGAAGTTATTTGGTAAGCCAAGAACTACGTGTTCATCGTTCAAGGAGCTAAACCTTTCAAGGTTCGCTCGAACGACAGTCGCGGCGACCAGTGGGTCGGCTCATCGTTGCCATTCGGAATACAACTCGAACTGGAAGGTGGAAGCCTTGACGAGGATGGGGTGGTGGTCATTGCTCTCAAGAAAACCAAAACGAAGCCCCCAACAAAACAGGGAGGTGGGTTTGTCGTTGCGGTTGGGGAGCAGTGTACCGGATTATCTCCCCAATTCTTGGTTATTTCCTCTTCTAAACTCCCGGTCCCATCATCCTCCCACGGGTCGAGTCGGTCGTGATATTGCTCAAAGCTTGGCGACCCAAGCAACGAACTCTGTTTTGTGAAGAACTCGGGCTCTCGGACCCTGTCTCTCTTTGATGGATGGCTAGGTACCCGCGGAGATCGGATGAGATATCCCCAGCTCTTCCGGGCCACCTGTATTTTTTTAATGGTGCATTTAGGCAAGGCTGGAAGTATTTTGCACGCGAGGACCGAGGTGGATTGCGCAATAGGGATTTGTGGAAGAAAAGTCTCGAATAACATTATTACTGTAGTGGGTTCAAACTTTTCCCTCTCACACTTCCTAGCCCTTCGCACTCAACTTGGCTGTCGCGGAGACCGAATCACGCCGTTGGTTGCTGCCCACCGCCTGCGGGGGAACGCCGGGGGGGACAGACTGTGTAGGAGCCGCCCACACAAATGAACCAGGAACAGGCGAAGTCCATGAGCGACCACTGGCACCATCCGTAGCTGCGTAGTAACTCCCTTCCTCTCAGCGTCGAGGCGAGGATGTTTTCCTCGACGACGGCATACTTTCCTCCGCCCTGGACAGTGAACCTTCTTCCGGAACTTTGACCCGGCCCGTCACTAGTTATTTGGACGTCTGCCCCGGTTTCTTTGCAGTGCTCCAGGAGGTCGTCCAGGTTGGAGGCCCGGGATGTAGGGTTCTGGAGAACGGTTAGCGAGGCTGCTGAAGCCCAGTCAGGGAGGGAATAAACCTGGCTCATGGTTTCAGAAGGAGCGTAGCCTGGCGACTGAGTCTCGGGGAAGTCCATGGCATACCCAACCGGAAAGGATGATCGGGAGGAGGGCGAGTGACGAGTATCGGGCGGTTAACGGGCGGGTGTTGAGCGGGTAACGGGCGAGTAGCGAGCGAGCAACGGTCGAGCTAACTTTACTGGTTCTGAAATGTCTGAGAGCACTGCTCCTCTTCGATAAAACTTTACATCGCGTCGAGCAGGTTGAAGGCGCGACTCACGCGAGAGATCCGCAGGCAACATCAACGCCACACGGTTGGATCGGCAAAACGAACGCCATGTCTCACACTCATCACGCGTTCTCTATCGCTTTTTGTATTTCTTATTTGTATGTTTTGATTTTCTTTATCTCCAGAAATCTTGCATACACAATTGGGCGCCCTGGAGGTTGTGGCCGACAACGCATGAAAACAGAAGTCGAACGCTGATAGGGGTGGAATTTTTAGCATGAAGCCTGTGGCCATGAGTAGAGCCAACAAGGCTGCCGTTATAGAAGTGAGGGGGTCTCAGGCCATGTCTGCACATGCATGTGCATCTTCTCCCTGCACTCCGCATGCTGCGCGATACTGTATGGCCCCCAGTCTGCTGCTTCGCAACAACAAAGCATGTTGAGTTTAATACGGTCCCGGCGCAACACACACCCCTGCATCCGAGACCCGGGCCGATGGGCTGCTTCGGCTTATCCCGGTTTACGCGGAGACCGGTCAACCAAACTTGAGACTCAGAGGGGTGAAAGGGACAGGGGTTGCTTGCGTCCCCCCTCGGGTTCGTCTAACCGGTGTCGGGATCGACAATTTGGCACTCCAACTGAAGGCAGGACCACGTTCTAGCTGGCTGAGGCTGAGTGCATCTCGATAGGTGCACGGGAACGGACGTGCCTCCGTAAATATTGGGACTGTAGGTATAAAAAAGGAGAGGGCACCGCCGCATCCAGCGTCCTGCAAATTTTCATATTCATGTTGCAAACCGCCATCTCACATCACAATTCCTTTTCCCAGAAATTCCATCGCCCGACTTGTCAACCGCATCATTTCTCACTATGGATATGTACTACGGAATGGATCCCAAGTCGTAGCTATTTTCTTCCCCTTTCTTGGGGCCGGGCTGACATTGACACTGGTGTTTCCAGTATTGCGATGGCCACCGGATTTTGGGTTAAGGTTCCCGTGTCCCGCGTGACCGAGCCACGAACGACAAAACTCAAGAAAACAACACGGAGAAGGGGAACCAACGAGAAGACGGGTTCAACTGAAGGCGAGGAGCAAGCTGCGACGGGGGATGCGCCTCTTCAGAAGAGTCGGTGAGAAGGCGCAAGGAGTTGGAGACATTGGCGTTTGGCGCATCATTGTGGCTTACACGGACGCAGCGGTGCATGGATTGGGCATACTGTGTATACACATGGGCGCATGCAACGTGGCGGCCCCGTCTCATCATATTGAATTTCATTGTGGCTTCGGGAACGACTGGTAATATTCTGCCATGTCTCGGCGAGACAAAATCGTGGTTGCATGAGAAGGCATTTGATTAAACAGACCGGCATGATTTATTGGACAGGTGGTTTCTTTTGGGTAATATGAGAAGTCCCAGTCTTGTTGGAAAATGTGGCTGTTGGCAGACCACACCCACGTCCGTTCCCGCTATGCCCTTGCATGCATGTACATGTATGTACATGTAGATGTGTGTGTGTATGGCCGGACTGACTCATTTGGAGGGCTCCCATTACCTTAGTCAAGGCTACACCCACAGACGCATGCCTGATAGACTTGTTCTCCCTGTAATCAGTGGCCTTTCGGTGATCGTTCTGCGCTGTCATTAGGAATGCTGCTGGCATTTAAGAGTGGCTGCTCCTCTGTTCTGGACCTTGAATGACTCTTTCCCCAGACGTGGCTAATGACGACCTTGAATCTGGGGTTCGTTTGAACCCTATGTTCTTTGACCACCACTTCGAGTGCGAGGACACGGCCAAGTTGAGTACAGATTTGTGGTACCCCAGCCTTTGAGAAGCGCAGGGCAACACTACTATTTCAAATGTTTTGCTGCGGCGAGCGTCACCATGAGAGCTGGCCGTTGAGAGCTGGCCGCTGGGGGTGGCCGCGTACCCCTTTACCTTTACACGTCGTTAGCATGACGGAGACGGTGTATCACCTAGATGCAAAATGCTCGCCATGTGAACACAGCGATGCAGAGCACAACTGAAACGTGCACCTCTAGCATAGCTAGAGATCAGGCCGAAAGTTAATATAAAACCCCTCCACGGCCTTCGCCATGCCGCTCAGCAAACTCGGTTTTGCTCCCCAACTAGACACCACTCGAGTACCTACACTTCCAGAACACACTATCTACGTTTCGAGAACCACACATTCACTCAACCGTCAAACAACATGAGTGATCCTCTAAGGTCCTGGGAACGCCACAACGGCGACCGCGTCTCCACCACCAGCGATTCCCTCCAGCGGGTGCTCGGCACAAGCTCATCGATATCCTCCTCCACCCCCCCCTACAGCAGCATCAGCACCAGCACCAGCAGCGCCCTCCCCTACAGCAGCCGCACCACCCTCAGCCCCCCCTTCTCCTACACCCGCTCCCGCAGCTCCCTCTCCTCCTCCTACCGCAGCACCACCGACACCACCACCACCACCACCAGCACCCTCGGCGGCTCCTCCTCCTCCTCTCTCTTCCCCTCCCGCCGCTCCAGCCCCCCGCTCTTCTCGTCCAGCACCTCCACCTACCGACCCTACACGAGCACAAGCACAACCACGGGCACCAGCACGGCGGGCCTCTATAGCAGCACCAGCTAGCAGCACCAGCGGCAGTAGCAGCCTGACCAGCCCGCGCGGCCGGTCGCCGCCGCGCAGCAGCCTCACGGGCGGGGTGCCGTACACGCCGTCCGGGCGGGGATATAGCTCGTTGACGGGGTCCGGGTCGGGGTCCGGGTCGGGGTCGGGGTCGTTGTATGGCGGGTCGACGGTGTATGGGAGTGGGGGGTCCGGGAGGTCGACGTATAGCGGGTCGACGCTGTTTGGGAGTGGGAGTGATGGTGGGGGTGGCAGTGGCAGTGCGGGGGGGTCGAGTTTCTGGGTAGCGCAGCCGAGTTTGAGTGATCGGTCGCGGTCGCGGTCATCGAGTCGGGGGTGGGAGGATCCGGGGTTTTGAGGGTGTGGGGATGGGACGGGATGCGGAGGGGGGAGGTTGCGGGAGGAAGGCGTTGTGTTAATGGAGTGTGATCACTGCGAAGATTTGGCTGGGTGGGGTTGGGTAAGGAGCACGGGGTACGTTATGGGGAATGAGATTACATGCCAGGGTTTAAGTGATTAGTTTTTAGTTATAAGCCAGAGTTAGCAGCAAGAGAGCGTTGTTTTTGGTTCCCGCTCAGCCAAGAGAAACCCGAACCGGCGGTCAGTGATGATGGGCATGTAACGATGTTCATAATCTGGTGACCGCATCGTATAATGGAAAAGTACACGGCTGTCTAAAAATACATAGTTATAACCTCTCTATTTACTCCACTAGCGGCCTTCCCTTGAAGTTCAACAACAAGGCCGTGTCAGGGGTGAGGGTTGTGGTGAAAGGGGGAAGTAAACAATCATCTGCCCAAGGCCGGCGGACCTCAAACGGAACTCTCAAAAATGCTCAAAAACTGAAGTAAAACACACCAACAACGCGCCACTGGGGTGCGTCACTGCGGGTGTCTGATTGGGCCGTATCCAGCTCGGATCGACACACGCGGCGGGAGTGTCATGGTGGTGTTAACCGGATATGGCGTGTTCAGCACACAGACACTGTGCCATCCGCAGCCATTGTTTCTACCACACCGCCACCGGTTTCAACGGTTCCAGTCTCCGTCTCCGACTCGTTCTGTTCAGCACGGGCGGGCGGTCAATGGCCGTGGTGTAGTTAAAGGTGCAGGTCCGGCAAAACCCAGGGGGTGCCTCGTCCAAAACAGTGCCGTTGGCAAAGATGACGCCCCTAAAAGTCTGGAACCCGCTACCTCTGGCCGACCACACCTTGGCCTGCGTCTTGCTCACCAACAGCGGGTTCTTGCCCATGCTCACCTTGCAGTTCTGGCTGACCATGCATAGGTTCAGCCCGATGGCCAGCGTCTGCATCATCGGGTTGTACCCTTGCTCGCTGAGGTCGCTGATGTGGAATAGCCCGGCGGCGTCGTGCAGGATTACGGTGGGGAAGTAGTCGGGCGACATGCTGTTGACGCCGTAGTGGTACAGCGCCGGGTTGGTCTCCTGGTTGGCGATGAGCTGCAGCGTCGGCGGGTCCCACAGATCGCCGGTGAAGGGCGTGCATTGCCACTGCATGATGAAGTACGTCTCGGGCGAGCTCGTGCGCTCCCGCTTGTTTGTGTGCAGTCTGGCAACCACCTTAAGCGCGTTCTGTGAAGTGGTCTTCTCCTCGGCCCAGAAGTCGTCGAGCGAGAGGTAGTCGGGGCGGTGGTAGATGCCGCGAGGACGGGCGGTCCTGAGTGACGTCGTTCTTTAGTT